TTTGAAGCACAAAAATTTAATTCTAAATAAACATGTCAAAGTCAAAATGTACCAAATGCCCGTCACACTGAATTTGGATGAGATTGCTGAGCTACGTCACTCATACGTATATACCAACTAGTTAACATTTCGCCTACCAAACAGCAGATGAAAATCTGGGGCGAAATCGCCTCTCCTAATTTCTGACCGATCAAGAGCCTAGAATAATAAAGTAAGAGAAAGCGGTATAGAAAATCGAATAAGTGGGAAAGAGACAGAGATAAAGTGGGATTAAAAAAAAATGTGTCACTTATTTTTGGGATTTCCCGGCGTTTGAATGACGCAATAATGGAATTGAAATAAGAGAGTGAGAGACGACATAGGAAACACAATGAGTAAGAAAGAGATGGATATAAAGTAGGAAACAAAATTTGTAACACGAATTCTGATTATTCTTGGTGCTTGAGTGTGCTTATAACTTTCGTGTCTGACCAATCAAAAGCCTGGAATAATAAAAGAAGGATAATGAAGAGATTCAATGAAAAAGAGAGAGATGGAGATATAATGAAAATCTATTGATATTTTAATTATTTCTGGCGCTTGAGAATCATTGTAATTTCTGTGTCCGACCAATCAAGGGCCTGGAATAATTAAGTAGAAGACAGCGATATAGAAAATTAAATTAGTGATAAAGAGAAAGAAATAAAGTGAGATAAAAAAATGTTACGTTAATTTTTGGGTAAATATTCCTGACACTCAATATTGGGCTTCAAATGAAAAAGTGAGAGACGACATAATACAGGGTGTTTCACGAACATCGAAACAGAGGCGTTTTAAGGTATTTTAAGGTCGATTGAAAAAACGTTTGCGAATATGTCATTTAAGGGGGAAACTTTTTGACCCCATCGGTATTTCGCTAGAATGCACCCCCTGGGTAGTGTGAGTTTTAACCTTGTTTTTTTAGATAGGGAAGATGGGCCGAGTGGTACCTTGTTTCAAAGGTATTTTGATTCTCGTCACAACTAAATGCGAAGGTTTTTTTTTTGAAAATCGAATAATTAGTTCTCAAGATATTCACTGTCAAAGTTGCCATGGGCTAAAAAGAATCAATCTTCTAGCCCTGTTATTCTCATATTAACACTTTCCTGACTTTCCTCTCGGACACTTCAATTTCCATTTTTCTCAAAAGCACACAAAAAGTAAAAATGGACGTCGTTAATTTAAGAATAACATGGCCAGAAGATTGTTTCCCATTTAGCCCATGGCAACTTTGACAGTGAATATCTTGAGAACTAATTATTCAATTTTTTTTAAAAAATACCTACGCATTTAGTTATGACGAGAATCAAAATACCTTTAAAACAAGGTAGGTACCACTCGACCCATCTTTCCTAGCTAAAAAAGAGATGTGAAAGTCACCCCACTCAGGGGGTGCACCCTAGCGAAATACCAATGGGGTGAAAAAGTTTCCCTTTTGAATACAAAAAAGACGTGTCCGAGCGTTTTTTGTTCATGAAACACACTGTATAGGAAACACAACGAGTAGAAAAAGACGAATATGAGGTAGGAAAAAGGAAATTTGTAACGCGAAACCAACAAAAATATCTACCTTTAAAAAATGACTGACTCAAAAAGAGGCGAAGATAAAGTAGGATAGAAGTAATTTTGAATTTTTCTGGCTATTAATGCTTGTCTGCAATAAAATTATTAATTCATAATTTGACAAAAAGTGACGGATATAAAAGCTGTGTTGGTTTTTGTCATCTTTTTCTTCGAATTGCTCCGAAGCTTTGACAGACACGTGATTCGTAAATTGAAACTGTCTAATCCAGTCACGTGCTTGTCAAAATTTCAGAGCAAATCGACGAAAAAGATGACAAAAATGAACACGGCCAAAGTAGAATAAAAAATTATAACAGAAATTTTGAATATTCCAGGTATTCTTTCGATCTGAACAAACTGATCGCAATCATTTAAGGTTTGTTTCAAATAATTGTCATCCGACTTTACAACGATTTTATTGGCGCTAACTGTTTTTTTGACGTTTCATTAACAAACCTTATGTGATTACAGTTTGTTCATATCGAAAGAATACCTGGATTATCGGCGCTTGAGTGTGCTTGTAGCTTTTGTGTCTGACCAAAAGCCTGGAATAATAAGAGAAAGATAATGATGTAAGAGATTCAATGAAAGAGAGAGAGATGGAGATATAATAAAATGAAAATCTATTGATATTTTCGTTATTCCTGGTGTCTGGAATTTTTGTGTCCAACTAATCAAGAGTTTAGAATAATCAAACAAGAAACTACGATATAGAAAATTGAAAGTAATAGAGACAGAAATAAAGTGGGAAATTTTTGGGTATTCTTGGCACTCAATAATGGACTTGAAGTGAAAAAGTGAATGATGACATAGAGAAATACAATGAGTAGAAACGGAACGGATATTAAAACAATATAAAACTATGAAAATAACAACAAGAAAGTACCAAAAATACAACCAAAGGAGACAAACCGCAAAATACAGAGAAACTAGAAAAAAAAAACATGAAAAATATAAAAAATACAGCTCATATAAATCTATCATAAATAATATAATACAGAAACTACGAACAAAAACAAACTGAAAATATAGACAGAACCCTAATAACACAGTAACATCGCAGAAACATTCCAGAAACATCCATCAGGGATAATGAAGACGTCCCTGGGAGGTCCCTATTTTCCTGGGGACATCCCTGGGATGTTGCAGGCAACAGCCGTGTCATCATTTGCGATGTCCTATAAACATCTCTCAGGGATGTTTCTAAGATGACGCGGGATGTACCTAATACATCCGGGGCAGGTGTAAGAAACATCCTCTATATGTTTCTAGTATGACTTTAATAGGTGAATGAATTTTAGGATTATGGATTAAAAATTACCTAATTCAATAATTTTCAATTTTCGTTCTATTTTCTGGAAGTCAGAACTTTTTCCAAAAAAAAAACAAAAATTGAAAATTATAAAATTAAGTAGGCACATCAGTTTCCAATAACATTTTTTATTGAAAAAATAAGGTACATGTATACTTATATTGATTATCTATCAACTAATAATAATCGACGGACAATTTTGCCTAAATAATGTAGTATTTATGCCCCGTCATGTCATCGAAAACCATAGTTTGGCAGTGGCAGCATGTTGTAGTAGGGGAGTTCGGCGTTTTCTTTTTTTGTTGGTGCTCCAATTTCATAAAGGTACCATTATCTAACCAAAACAACCACAGAACCAAAATCCAAAGTTCTTGAAGTACAATTCAACTTGCACACCTAGAATGTAATCAACTATGAAAACAAAAAATAATTATTGGTTATTTTCTCTTACCTAATGAAGAATGAAGTTCGGGTTTCTAGGGGCTATTTATCAGAAAAGTTAGAAATTTCCTAACCGACGCCATATTGAAATTAAATAAACTAAGCAATTGATAGTTATGCGACGTTATCTTTCAACAAATAATCTTTCTCACCAACTAATAAGCACTGGTAGGTCGCAGAGATCCTTTCGAACACAAAATGGCACAACTAGGTGTAGCGAAAAACCACAAATTGACAAATCCTCCACACAGCACGACGCCATTACGAAATAAAATTCCGCCCAACAACACAAGCGTAGCGCACAGGACGACCCGTTCGACTGATTCTGCCCGTCTGCGCTGGCTGCGGCGCCGACGTGGCCGCGTGCAGAGGTACAAGTACAAATGCCCGAGCACGCGCCTGCGCCATACACTTCGGCTTCACGAATATTCACGATGTTTGAAAGTTCAAAAGAGAGAAGACTTTTATCAAAATACATATTTTATTTTATTTTATTCCAAGTTGTAAGTCGAATGAAAAATTAAATTTTGCTGTGCTACAATACAAAATTAATATTAAGTTCCTTATCTATATACATTACAGGTATATTATGGAATTTGAAATTAGTTTGTATGTGTGATAGAGACATTTTCAGAAATCACACAAAATTGGCAAATTTAATACTGGGTCCTACCGGTCTGAGGTCCTACCTAGTTTTGTAAAATAATGTTAGCCATTTTTTAGGTGTAATAGGTATCTAAATTTTGAGAACAAAAATCTTTTTATCGATAGATATCTTCGAAAGGATGTTTCTAAAACATTTCAGGACAATCATCCTAGAGATGTTACATTACAAACATCGCAGCGATGTACCATTTATGTCGGAAACATAAGGACCTTAATGGTACATAAATGGGATGTTTCTGGCAGATCGGTGTTATTAGGGAATAATATCTGTAAGTATGGAAAATCTCATAAACATCTACTGGATAAGGCAAAATACAGAAAATATTGAAAATATCGTAGGTATTTTTGAAAAACACTGAAGTAACTAGAAAAAAAGAAGAAAATAACAAAAACACTATGAAACATATATAGAGAAATAGAAAACACACTTAAAATTTTGAAGTGAAATTATAGGGGGAAGCAATCTGGGAAGTTTCGACAACCAGCGGAAGTTGAAGGAAAGTTTTTATTTAAAAGTGTAAAGAAGGATTAAGGAAATCCGGAAAACTTGAGATAAATCTCAGGAAGTATATGGGAAATTATTTAGGAAATCCGAAGGAAAATACCTATTTATCAAAAATTTGGAAAATCTTAAATTATTGATGTTTTTCCTCGAAATCATTATTATTTTTTTTTTATTGAAACATGTTGTTTATGTGCCTTCAACAAATAAATTCCTGACGATTGAGAAATAATCGAAACGTCGGCGTATGTACCTGCAAACAAAACAATGAAAAAAGCAAATAAATAAAAAAACGTTTATATTACATTTTTTTTTTTTAATAAATAAATATCGATTTTTAATATTATTATTATTAATACTTAACAACAACAAAAAAAATGTTGAGGTAAAAGAGAACAGTAGGTTTTTTGATGTTTGCCTCAAAATTATTGGCAAAAAATTTGACTTTACAAGATATAATGTTCTCTATTTATTAATTATTAATATTAAAATCAGTGTCTGGTTTTATATTATATTGATTTAAATTAATTTGTATTTTGATTATTATTAATGAAATATCGTTTGAATGTTTTTTTTTGTTCTAAAGTTAATATTACTTTTTTTTTATGTTGGCATCAGGTTTCGTAGTTTATTTGTTCAATTAATTAATAAAACTGTCGACTAATTAATTTTTGAACATAATAAATTAAAATTAAACCAGACAATGTTTCAAATATACTTAAAACATTTACTTAACAATTAGGTACGCACCTTAAGTCCGAAAAAATCACATAAAAAACCAATAAGTCAGTCTTTTTTTTTATATTTTAGTGATAACGAAACACAAATCACTAATCAACATGTATCACAATTAAAAAATTATTAAGGGGGAATGCTCAGGGATCTTCAATCTACTATTTACAATTAATTACATTTTCAATTATTATTTAAATATATATAGGAACCCCATTTTTTTTTTTGTTTCTAATCAAATAAATAATATATAAGTAAATAAAAAATAAAAAAGTCTTTGGTTTTTTTGGTATATATCAATATTGTTCTATTTACACGTCAGTCCCACAACCGCCCTCTTGGTATCCTTCGTCCGGCGAGTTTTTACTCAAAGCCCTCTTAAGGGCTGTTACTGGAGGCAGCACAGGAATACCGCCCTTTTGCCACACCCTCAAAGTTTTACCTTGAGGCGGCAATGGTAATCCGTAATCTTGAGGAAATCCTTTATAGCCACCCTCTTCTGAACTCGTCGAACCTTCGATTATAGGGCTTTTGTCGTTGTATAAAGTGACCCTTTGCAAACTGGAATTGTCCCAATATAATGAAGCGTCATTAGAACGTGTGTATTCGCCACTGTGATCATTGATAAGATCTGGACTGATATCTTGAGTTGGTTTTGAGTCAGTTTGTTGTTGGGCGATTGGGCCATTTACAATTGTAACAACTTCCAATTGAGACGAAGGCGTTTTGGTTTCTTGAGTGTAATTATTGAATCTGCGCACTTTGATTAATAGAATTGAAATTATTATTAGGATTATTAGGATTAGGGCTGCTAATGCGGCACTTAATCCAGCAATTTGGCCATTGTTCAAGGAAATAATGCCCAAAGGCTTGGAAATAATGCGGAGAGTGAAGTTGGTTTCCGCACTGCCTGCTCTATTTTCAGCCACGCAGTAAAATTCGATAAAATCTTGTTCTATTGTGTTGTGTAGTACCAAAAAGCTGCGTTTTTCTTGTGAGCCTTGTTCAAAAATTTGTAGTTTTTGCTGTTGATGTCCCAAAAAACTATTATTCATTAACAACTTTCCATTGTAAAACCATTTGATTTGAGCAGGAGGGACTGCGTTTACTCTACAGCTTATGGTAGCATTTCCGCCTGAAATAGCTTCAACATAGCGATTGATTGGTAGTAATTCAGGCTTACAAGCTAAATCCTCTAATCCAACATCGTTAAAAGATTTTTTAATAATTCTTTCAGGACCTCCCAAACATTTAGGACTAATGGGATAAGGAATATTATACTCCAACAGCCATTCTTTTATAACTCGGAGTCTACAATCGCAATGCCACGGATTATTATGTAACTCTACTCCGTGGAGTTTGTGTAGAATATCTACAGTGTGCGGGCGTAGTTCACTTAAATGATTATCGTTGATTTTTAATAATTCAAGCATTTCAATGCCTTCGAATGCTTGTGGGGCAACCATTTTGATTTCACAATTGGACAAGTCCAGTTTCACCAAACCGCGTAGATTGAGGAAAGCACCAGGATCGATTTTTTGTATGGGATTATTGGCAAGTAACAATTCCCGTAAAAACGGAGTGTTTTGGAAACTTTTAGTCGGCACAGAAGTGAGCAAATTACTACTCAAATCAAGTTCAATTAAATTTGTGACGCCTCTAAAAGCCTCTGAATCAATTTGTCCCAATCTACAACTTTTCAAATAAATCTTTTGCAAATTGATCAAATTCAAACGCACAAAAACTTCTTTGGGCAAATTCTGCAAATTGTTCACCGACATATCGAGCACTTGCGTTTCGGCGTCTACACTTTCCGGAATTTTAATCAGTCCGCGTTCCATACACTCCACAGTCCGTTTGCCGCTTTTCCATTTGCACGAGCACAACGACGGGCACGAGTCGCTTTTCACCAGCACGATAATGAGGGTTAAAATTAGGAGCCTCATTTTTTTGGATTTTTTTTTTTTCTTCGTCGGCGTAATAGTTGAGCCCCTAGGGGTTCGACGCGACCGCGAGTTCGACTGACTGAAGAAGACTGAATGTGGATTGGTGTGTAGAGGAGGGGGAATGGGCCCTCTGGTTCTCCTCTCTGTTCTACGGTCTCTTTGGGTGAAGAGAGTTGCGCGTTGGCCTGCATAAACTAGGGGGGTCCTGATTTTTTTTTTTCTTTTCAATGGGTTGTGGTGGGCATTCTTAATTTTCGGTTGTTTTTGGACAATCTTGAGAGTCCGAAAAATTTGACTAAAATGTTCAAATTGGTTATGAACGTTGTAGAAATAATCAGTGGCGGCTCCTGACTATTTCAACTAATTACAGTATAGGATTTCATGAAATTCCATATTTTTTTTTAACTTTACTAAAATTCCTCAAAATTTTACCACTGAAATATCCTGGAATTCCACAAAATTTTCATAAAATTCTTTGGAATTTCATTGACATTTCATGTAATTTCTTAAAAATGTCTCGGGATTTATTAAAATTTTATGAGAATATCCACATTCATAACCGAAAATATCTCGAAAGTCCAATGAAACTTCAAGGAATTTTCAAAATTTAATTTATTTTCATAAGAATTTTTCGGAGTTTCACTGATATTCTCTTTTAATAGCCAGGAATTTCTCGGAATATTAATGAAGTTTCAAGTAATTTCTTAAAAATTCATCGAAATATATTGAAATTTCATGTTATTACATGGTAATTTTTCGGAATATCACCGAAATTCCATGTTTTTAGTTGGAAATTCCTCGGCATTACTAAAATTCAATAAAAACTGAAATTTCATGTTAGGAATTTCGGTGTAATTTCATGTAATTGTTTAAAATTCCTCCATGTTATTCATTTAGGATTTCGTGTAATTCGTTCAGAATTTCACTGAAATTTCAAGTAATTCGAGAGGAATTAAAATTTAATGTGAATTCTATGGAAACTTCGCAAAAATTTCACATCTAATTCCTTTTTCAGAATAACATAATTATTCTACCTGAATTTCACTAAATTATGGAATTCTGAGATTTTAATAGATTTCCACAGGATATTTGGGAATTTTAAAGGAAATATTTTTCAGAAATGTCAATGATTGGGTTTAAAATAACCGATAAATCGAGATTTGATAAAAACATATGGCAACGCTGCTCATGATACAACAAACGTCAAAAAATTGAAATATTAAAGTAGGCCTTGGTTTTTTTTGACAGTCGATATAAAATGGCGTCTTTTTGTTCCAAAGATTACGATCCGAAGAGCCGAAGTATTAAAATCAGTTGACAATGAACGGGTTCGTATAACTCCGGCCTTTCGGGTTCGTATGATTCCGCCCCTTCGGACTCGTATAACCTCGGCCCTTTGAGCTCATAATTGAAATAACTTCAGCCTTCCAGAATCGAGATTCGAAAAAAAAACATATGGCAACAGTGTTTATAATGCAACAAACGTCAAAAAATTGGCCCTGTTTGGCTACTTTTTACGTATTCGCCGAGGCTAAATCTATATGCTCATGTAGTTTTTTTTTTTTTTAAATTTTGACTGTCAATGTGGATTGTCAATGTCAAAAATTTTTACCTTTTCTTTTTTTCAAAAAACAAATGTCAGAAAACGATCCCTAGGCTCCGAAAACCCTAAAATAAGAAGTTTCATCGATATATGTCAAAAACCAACCGCCTGGCAACGCCGAACGTCTTTTTTGACATATGTTAAAAAAAAAAAATTGGTACTTCCTACGTATTCGCCGAGGCTAAATCTATATGCCCATTAAAATTTTGACAGCTGTCACTCTCAAAAAAAAATCTTTTGTTTTTTCCAAAAAACAAAGGTCGTTTTTTAGTGGGTTTTATGTTGAGATTTATGTAACAACATGTAGCAACAGTTGGTACAAAAAATTCAATTTCCCTTCGGGTTTGGAATTCGAATTTTTGAATTTTCCCAGCTCCTGATTGGTTTGGGTATTCGAATTTTGTTTATTCCCGACTCTTGATTGGCTTTAAAATAATCTATAATTTCGGCCCTTCGAGCTCGAGATTTGAAAGAAAAACATATGGCAACACTCTGCTCATGATACAACAAACGTCAAAAAATTGAAATTTCAAACCTTGGGTTTTTTGACAGTCGATATAAAATGGCGTCTTTTTGTTTCAAAGATTACGGCCCGAAGGGCCGGAGTATGAAAAATTAGTTAACAATGAACGGGTTCGTTCGGATAAAACTTTTGTCGCACGACACTTTGGCAATATCGACAAATGTCATCTGTCAAATTTGACACACGTTCGACTTTTTCTCCGCTCTACTATAAAAGCTACGAAAATCAAACCCCGGTACAAGGCAGTTTCGCGACTCTAACTATCGATTTGTGTCAAAAAAAATTGACAGCTGTCAACGTCAAAAAAGTTTTTTTTTTTCATTTTGCGAATTTCGAGAAAAAAAGTGATAGAAAACGATCCCCGCACCCCAAAAACCTTAAATAAAAATTCAAAAAAAAAAAACAACGAAAATGACATTCCAAAACCTACTTGATAAAACTAAAGTTTTTCTCACTTACTCCGTTAAAACACTGGAAATTTTTGGTGGAAAATGAAGAAAACTCAAAGTCTCGTTCTTTAAATCGGTTTTTCTGACCAAAAAAGCCCTGGAAAAGCGGACAAATTCAAAGAAAAACCTTTAAAAATGACATTCCAAAGCCTACTTAATGAAATTTGAGTTTTTGTCACTTACCCCATTGGAAAACTGGGAATTTTTAGCACAAAGTGTAGGAAATTCAAAGCCTCGCATTTCAAATCGGTTTTCTTGACTGAAAACTGCTTGGAAAAGCGGAAAATTTGATAGAAATATGAACACGTCAATTAAAAATTACCGATTGTCAAAACTGGCAAATGACATTTATTACAAAACCTATTTGAAGTTGGTACAAACGGTGTTGCCACATCAAAATTAAAAAAAAAACATTTTAAATGGGATTTTGTTATTTATGTCTTTTTAAAACTGAACATTTTAGCTGGAAAATAAAGAAAACTCAAAACCTCGTATGTTAAATTCCCTTTTTCTATTGAAAAGCCCCGGAAGTGAAAAATTTGAGGAAAAACTGGCAAAAAATTTCAAGGCGTCAAATGGCCAACTAAAAGCCACGTTGCCACATCTCATTTCAGAAAACAAAAATAACATTTTAAAAGGGTTTTTTGTTCAAAATTCAATTTAATAATTAATTAATAATAATTATAATAATTAAAATTCCCCAAATAAATCATAGGAAACTTGTTTTTAGTTTAATTTTAATGAAAATGACATTACAAGGTTTCCTTATTGATTATAGTGAGTAAGACAAAGACAATGATAAAGTAGTATATGTTTGCAAAAACCACCGTTTTCTGAAAAAAGTAAAAATTATAAGAAAACCAACATTCCAAAGCCAATTTGATAAAACTAAAGTTTTTGAATATTCCCGACTCTTTGATCGGACGCTAAAAATCGCAATTTAAATACTCCCGGTTTTCAATTAGCTCTAAATTATCCGCTGACCAATAGAATTATAAACTAGGCCCCGTGATTAAAATAACTCTAGCCCTTCGGACTCGCATATAACTCCGGCCCTTCGGGCTCGCGTATAACTCCGGCCCTTCGGGCTCGCATATAACTCCGACCCTTCGGGCTCGCATATAACTCCGGCCCTTCGGGCCGGTATTACTGAGTATCCCAGATTCACAGATATTTGTCGTGGAGGCGCGAGATTGATTGATATAATGTAAGATTTTTCTAAATTACATTGAAATATCGAAAATTGGAAAGTGTTATTTGTTAATTATTATTTTAATTAGAAATCAGGAATAAAAAATTGAGATTGAATTTTCAATTTTTTGGGGGAGGTTTAGCCTCCCCTGCCTCCTCTGACGAGCCGCCACTGGAAATAATTCAAAGACAAATCATTATATGTTTGTATGATAAAACATTAAAGATTCATTCCAAAAATAAAACAGTTTTTGGTGTACCTTTCTCGAACTTAAATCGACTGTGAATTTTCAGGTGCGTGGTATTTAAATTCTCCGAAATTAACATTTCATTAATGTTAATTGCATTTAGTTGTAAAACTGGCTATAAGTGGGAATCTTTTGCTGAACTTTTTTCGCTCGTTTATTTAGTTTCTGACTCAGCTTCAGCTCTACTACAAACAGTGTTCTAGTTCTAACTATTTAATGGGAAACAGTATTGCTCTACCTACTTTATCTCGGAAAGGTTTGAAATTACGAGAGCGGATAAGTTAAAAAAAAGTTGCCTCTCTCTCCAACGAATTAAACTATAAATATTATTGATTGAGAATCCATAATAAGTTGTGTTTCGGAAACTAACTTAAATTTTTTTTCCCCATTCACACCATCTTTTATTCCATATACCCACTTGAACTGTACAATTTTTCTGTCTTTGGGAATAACCACTAAAGTCCATGCATTATTATTGTTCTACATTGATTGCATTCTTCCACTTATCACCATATTCATTAGCTAAGGCTTCTTACACTGAACAAGGCTCGCCGATGCAAGGGCGGTTTAAAGGGGTGGTAGAGGGGGTAATTATCCCTCCCAGACAAAGATTTTTTTTCAATACATTTATTAATTACAATAAAATTTCAACAAGAGACAAGTTCTACAAAGTAAAGCATTTAAAGGTATTATATAAATTGATACGCTCACCAGTACCAAAGTTTGCCAGTACTGACGTACCTACTATACAGTGATTTTGGTTTTTGACATATGCCCACTGCGATTTTTTGAAAAAAATATTGAATAGGTTTTTCAAAAACGGTTAAGTTTTAGTATAGGTAATTCCTAACAAAAAGTATGTAGGATTTTAAGAACGATCCATTATTTTACTAAAATATAGGGTACTAGCTGTTGCCCGCGGCTTCGCACGCCCTATACAAATTTTGTAGGTCTAGGGTGTAGGTAGCATTAGGTAATCTTCTTTCAAAGAGCTAAGGGGATAGCTGCGTCAGACATATGGTCATGTAACTCTTATTTTTGCAGCACCTCTCTGTAAACCACATTTTTTGTTCTGCTTTGTGGCTACAGAATATAGTTGTATTCCTTTCAAGAGTTTGAAGCACTCGAGCTACTCGCTACGGTATTCAGTCGCCCCCGATTTGCAAGGAACAGATGCGTGGTGCAACAAACACTTTTCGAAAGGAATAAGCAGGTGAAGCCCCGGAGCTGTTCCGGAGCTCCTCCTAGGTGTGAAAGGAATACAACTTATGAAGACTATTTTTTGACAGCTGACGTTAAATTTTTTTGAAGTGCCACTCGCTGCTAATAGCTTTGTTCGCGGATCATATTTTGAACCGATTCCGAACCAGTCCGGAACTAATTGAGAACTATCGTAGAGCGCATGCCCCAATGAACTATAACCAAAAACTGGAATGCTAACACATAAGGAC